GGTCTCTCACATGTATTTACAAGGAGAAGAACGCCTGATGTATGCTCATGTCCATTCCTCTGATAGTATGTTTGTACATAGCTGGTTTAGAGTGTCCTAGTTTTGTGTTTTTGCCAGTTTGCATCTAACCAATGAATTATTCTATGTTTAAAGCCGGTCCCCCCAGAATCTTTCACTGAAAAGGATATGGACAGCAGCCAAGAGGGAGAAGATGAGCAGATGACAAGGGAATAAAATCCAAAGTAAGCTCTTACTCTTCAAATCTGTCATTCATTAGTAATAAACACAGTTGCTTCACTGCATTGACATGCTACTGGTTTGCCTGTGTTGTCGCTTGTTTGTCGCTGTTTTTTCTTCTATCTTTCTGTAACGTGTGTCTGCTCACACTGATTTACGTATCAGTGCAGGCAATAGCCTACAAATTGATGGTTTAATTCTGTATTAATAGATTAAAAGGCTTGCACGCTAAGAGTAGTGTGTGGAACAGTAGGATACTCGCTAACTTTTCTCCTTTCAAGACTCGTTTACCACCACACTGCGTCCTATGCTGTGTCTTGGGTGCATTCAGGTTCCAGGAAGTGAGGCTGAGCAGGAGAATGAGAATGAGGAGGAGGAGGAGGAGGAGGAGGAGGAGGAGGAGGAGGAGGAGGAGGAGGAGGAGGAGGAGGAGGAAGGGTCTCTGATCTCTGAGCAGAGTCCTCAGAACCAGGATGTAGTACTTTGCATGCAGGGGTCCCATAATTTGGGCAGGGCGCCTCATCCCTTCCCCGTGGGAAAGCATGTGACACTTGGTGGTTTCAGTTGGTGGTTTGTTTCTGTTTGACTCAGAGTTCTTGTTGGCGGCCACAAACTGCATGGTGCTTGATTTTTGATTAGAGTGACTTATCTGGGTTTGCTGTGTTAATGCCTCTGAGGTGATAAATTACCTATAAAGAGAGTACTTTTTTTTGAGGACACAGCCCCCGCGTTGCCACTGAAATAATTTACATGTAAAATGTTATCAGGAAGCACAGGCTGGCTCGGATTCAAATTGATTAGGTATGGGATATGACTCTGTGTGTGACCATCTCAAAAACAATTGGAAAGTGGGTTTTTCTTTCTCTGTTTAACCTCTCTGAGACCACCCTGACAACATGTGTTATTGCTTTCCATTTCCTGCCTATTCCTTCATAAAACTATTGTTTGCAACTGGTTGATGTTATTTTATTTTTGCATGGCTTCTGTGTGCTTTGGAGGAAGGTAAGTTGTGACCCAGTTTTGTATTTCAACATTTCTTCTGCTGTCATAAGCTGTGTCCCCAATTCCCAATATATAAGTATACCCAAAAGTTAATGAATATTAAATGATTTTTGAGTCTGCTGTTAATTATACTATGTTCCAGAAGCAGTGTATAAAGAAAATGGAGGAGTGCTCACAGTTGGGAAGAAATGTATTGTAGTTTAATTTCTATGCCATTCCAAAGTCAGTTTGATTGACGACTGCTGGCACATGTCACATTGGTCCAATGAAAGCCATGTATATCTTTTTGACAAACTGAAGGTTACTTGTCTCCTTTTATGGGTTTTATTGTCAGCTGAAAACTTGTTTCTTGTTTCTTCACTTGTGCAAAGTTGATGTATAGTTGGTTTTCACAGGACAGTGATGATGTAGACAAAAACTGTATACTTTAAATATTAATATATATACTGTATTCAATAGTGTGTTTGGAATCTGGATACAGCCGTTAATAAAACACTGGAACATTTTACAGTAAAGAGTGTAATATCACAGTATACACTAGATGGTGCTATTGATCCAAACTACAAGAGGATGGTTTAAAAAAAAAAAAAAAAAAGATCAAATTGTCCACATGACATGTTTACCTGACTTTTTTAGCAGCCCCTGCGTGAACTTCAAAAAACATTAGTATTGTATTCTGTAATAAAATTAACAAGAAGTGTGCATTTTAGGTCTCGGCACTGAAAGAATCCACAGATGTTCCTAAATCCAAGAGAGGAGAAAGAAAAAGGTTGGTAGTATTCTTAGTGGGCTTACTTTAGTTATCCTATATCTATCAAATGGTTTCATAAAATTAAACGTTTTATATACATTTATTTATAGAGTGATGTGACCAGGAGACTGAAAAGACAGTGCAGGTGCTAGTCCTATTAGCCCCTCAGGTAAGCTGTATTCCTGTGATGTGGGTATTTGTCATGCTGTTTATGGCTTTCTGCTCTTAAGAAGATAAATACAAATTTTATTTTAACTGTAAGTGGAATTCTTGGCATTCAGCTCTCCTTTTGCATAAACTGGGTGTGTGGTGTTTCTGTGCCCAGTGCAGGTGCAGAGGCTCCTAAACGAAGAGGCAGGAAGCCCAAAAGTGAGAAGTTACTTTTGCTCCAGCAGAGAAGCAAGGCTCAGGAAGTGAAATGTAACTAAATGAAATGAACACACAGTGCAAAATCCACTACCTTTTACCCTGCATTTGCCTGGGCTGCGGACCCACAACGATCTGTTTCTGCAAGGAAAACATAATGCTATAATTCTTTAGGTTTTCACATTAGCAAAGCACTATAGAGACTGTGGTCAACCAATATGAGTTTTCGATAGCTAATGCATTTAGAAAGCAGGGAAGTCGATGGCCGATACATAATGCCGATAACAAATAAATAAGTCATGTATAATTTCATTAAGCAACAGGGGCAGCTTATTTTAAATTATGCAGAGCCGCCCGTTGCCTTCACTCCGTGGTCAATCAGTGGACATTGTCAGTTGTTTTAAGTATTTAGGTACACATATGGACGAGAAATTGAGTTTCACTGAAAATGTTGATTCCATTTGTAAATAGCCAGTCAGAGACGGAGCTGAAGGAGTTTTGAGTCAAAGTGTATGTCAGCCTAATTAAAGAGTATTCTCATGATAAATATCTCTGTCTAGTTTGGACATCTAAAACTTATAAACATAAACAAGCTGCGGGATGTCAAAACAGCAGGGAAGATAATAGGCCAGCAACAAATGTCACTGGATGGCTTCTACAGTACAGCTCCATAGGAAAGCGTGGTCCATAATTGGTGACACAACACCCTCCACCCCCATACTGAGTCTGAGTACTTCTGGCAAACAAAAAGATGTATAAGAGATCCTTTCTACTAGTGTAAAAACCTAATGAACAAACTGGACTACCTGCAACTTTCCGCACAGAAAGCATATTGTACACTGTTTGTACGTTGTGTTAACTGTGTGATGTGTTGAGAAGTACGGCATTGATTGACGTTATAGGATGTGTTTATTTGTCTGGTGAGACCTTGAGTGAGATGATTTTCCGGCCTCGTCTGAACAATAAATTGTGTTCTATTCAAGTCCATGCAGAGTACAATCTAATACGCATGGTTATCTCAGCCAGTAACTTGTTGTTCAGATGGAAACTATTAATGAATCAAATAGAAAAACACATTGGGTTATGCTGTAGATTTCAGAACGTGACTAGTGTTTAAGAGAGAATGGGGTACAGTTTGTCAGAAGTGACGTCATTCAGCTGCATTATTCTCTACAGTATAACAATATATATTTTTAACATAGCCAGTAATAGTTTAGATTAGACTTGCTGTCATTTAGGGTGATATTGGCCTCGAGAGTGCAGGTATCGGCCGATGACCCAATTAATCACTAATAGGATAATGACCCTTAAATGCTCGTGTCAAGATGCAAAGACCAATAGAAGTGCTCCTAGTTCAACCGATCAGACCAAAGCAAAGCTCTAAATAAGTTTGCCCTAAACTTGCATTTAAAACATATTAGTTGAAATGGCAGTGGGCTGTGCTTATGGGCGCTTTCAGCTTTACATTTAAACTGTTAGTCATTACAGTTACATTCTCATAATCTCTAGCGTGAGGTGAATGTAGTTTGTAGTTCAGACATTAATTATCTTCTAAGCCTCTTAAAAGACCTTTTCTCTCCCACTTAGGGACACTGCTGTCAGACAGAAAGAGAAAGAGGGCACCAGAGGACAAGTCCAAGAGTGGAGATGAGGAGAAGAGAAGAAGGAGGACGGCAAAGGAAAGGATGCGGGGGGAAGGAGCCTGAAGCAAAGAGGAAAAAGCCAAACAAGGAGGACAGTTCATCAGGCTCTGACAATGAAGAGGCACGTTTCCAGTCTACACAAATATCTTCACAGTTTGAATTTGTCTGTGTGACACACCAGACAAAGGTATCATGTTGAACAGGATGATGCTTTCATGTACACAATTTTGTTTTTTTTAATCTCAGAAAAACAAAGGCAGAAAGAAACACCAAAACTCAGAGTGGACAAAGATGTGCGGCGGCGGAAAGTGGATGAACTAAGAGAGTATGTATACACACAATGCCAATTAGAAGTTCCAAGAGACAAAATTATGTCCTCATAGTATTTATTCTGATCTGCCAACAGCCAACAATCCAAAAGTATGTAATTTACATTATATGAAGAGCAAGCAAAGCTAACTTTGAGAAGGATAACCAGAAAATGTTAATTATGGTATTTAAACTCGAGGAATGATGATTACTAAATAGGTTAACTAAACAGTTTCATTAATATCAGTTATCTGTTGCCCTGTTTGACACTGAGATTAATTGTAGAAAATCGTTACGAGAGGAATGGATAGATTTCTAACATGTGGTTATTCTGTCTTGCAGGCCAACAAAGATGATGGGAAGAAAAATGAAGAAAGGACAGGAGTCAAGAAAAAGGGTGAGTACTGTAATTCAAATACTTGAATGAGAATAAGATATCTTAACATAAAACTATTTGAAGCCAATAAAATGAAAGATTGTTAAGAGTGACGATGTCACTCATCAGTGCAGCTGAGTTGAATAGAAAACTGGGAAGTTAAGCGTTTTTGTTATTATACAAAACACTATTGCATTTAATATGTGTATTAAACTAAATAAGAAATAAAAAAGTTAACTATAATCTATACACTCACCAGCCACTTTATGAGGTACACCTTGCTAGTACCGGGTTGGACCCCCTTTTGCCTTCAGAACTGCCTTAATTCTTTGTGCATACTTTCAACAAGGTGTTGGAAACATTCCTCAGAGACTTTGGTCCATATTGACATGAAAGCATCACGCAGTTGCTACAGATTTGTCGGCTGCACATCTATGATGCAAATCTCCAGTTCCACCACATCCCAAAGGTGCTCTAATGGATTGAGGTCTGGGACTGTGGGAGCGTTGAAGTACAGTGAACTCATTGTCATGTTCAAGAAACCAGTTTGAGATGATTGAGCTTTGTGACCTGGTGCATGCAGGCTGTCGCTTATAGACAATGCTGAATTGGTACTAAGGGGCCAAAGTGTGCCAAGAAATATCCCCCACACCATTACCCACCACCAGCCTGAACCATTGAGACAAGGCAGGATGGATCCATGCTTTCATGTGGTTTACACCATCTGAATGTCATAGCTGAAATCCAGTGTCATCAGACAGGCAACGTTTTTCCAATCTCGATTGTCCAGTTTTGGTGAGCCTGTGTGAATGTAGCCTCAGTTTCCTGTTCTTAGCTGACAGGAGTGTCACCCGCTGTGGTCTTCTGCTGCTCTCCGTAAACCCTAGAGATGGTGGTGCGTGAAAATCCCAGTAGATCAGCAGTTACTGAAATACTCAGAACAGCCCGCTAGCACAGCAACCATGCCACGTTCAAAGTCACTTAAATCCCCTTTCTTCGGGATTTTACCTTGCATTATAAGAATTTTCGCCCACAGCACTTAAGCCAAACAACAGAAGAAACTATGCTGTTGTGATTTGGTGTTTACAGGTGCTGCTTCTGTCCTCTTTGTCTGTGTTTCTGTGAGGGCGGGGCTTTGCGGCTTTCTAGCGCACACACACACCACACACACCGTCATTTTGAAGTCAGCACTAGCAAGAGCTCACACTTCAAACAAACTCTCAGAAGTGAAACCACATCAGCAGATATAAGATGCGAGCACGATGTAGATTTGTGGCTGTTTGGGCGAAGTCAGATATTCTGTAACTTAAAAAATGAAGTTAAGTCTGGTCAAGCTTTGTAAACAAGGGGTTACCCGTGTGAGAGTAGTCTCTTTCAGACCCCCTTATACTGTGTGTTGAGCAGCATATGGAGGCTGTCAAGTAGCCTAATAATCTGTTTTAATTTAAACAGGCAAACGACACATTTCCGTAACCACCCACTCGCCCACCCCTGAAAAAAAAAATCCTGGGGGGAAACACTGGTATATTCTTTTTCCTATCTACTGTGTGTGTATACAATACAATTGCCTTACAGGGATAAATTAAGTTATATGATTTAACTGAATCAAAATAAAGGTAGTAGTGGGAATCAGGATATTGCTCTAATGTGCAAAAAACATGGTACAGTAGTTAGTGCAAAAAAGAAGTAAAACCATGATACTGTGCAGATACGGGGCACATGGGTACAGTTTCCAGGTTTCTTTATAATAACCCTTTGTCATTAGCTTGGAACTCCTGTAGAAGCTTGCGTTTTCAAAGACAGCTAAGTCAAACAAAGCAAAGTGATTAGATGACCATCAGACCTACGGAATTGAACTTTAAAGTGTGGTAAACTAATGTCTTTAAGTCATTAAGTGAAATCGTTGTGGTTCAACCGTTTCATAATGATCCTTCACAGAGGTTTTCCTCCCTGACTACAAAGGTGGCCTCCCTGTTGGGTCGCGCTGATTTCAGGCAGGGGAAATAGATAATTCTTACATTCAAACTTGATTCAAGTTCTCTCTAAAGATAGTAAGGAAGCCAAACCATTTCCATCATAATGTTTTCAATCTCTTTCCTTTTCCACAGAAATGTCAACTGACTTGAAACTCCAGAGACTGCACAGTGAAATCAAGATTTCACTGAAAATTGACAACCTGTAAGTCTGTGTCAGATCATTAATACTGTACATCACAACTAATACAAGTCCATCTTTCTCCACAGAAACTTTATTGCAATATTTCATGTATCCCAGGGTAAAATAAGTGAACACAGACTCAGTTGTCTGACAAAACAATTTCTATAGCTTTGACACAGGCAGCTGGTCATTGTCGTGAATTTACTGAGACAGAGCCAGGCGCAGTTATCTGTGACACCCATGGACATGTTTTAACATTTAAAGAAAAGAGAAGCAATGAATTCCCTCTTTCAACCATAGCCAAATAGATACAGCAAATACTATCAATGTTCATCTTGTGTGATCTAAAACAAAAATAAGTGTCCATTATTTTAGTCAGGGACTTTCGAGTTATGTCCGAATTAGGACAGTTTTTGAACACTGTTTGACATGCCTCCTCAGGCAAGCTTTATTTTGCTATATCTGGGTACTGTGATTTTGAGTTTTGTACCTCAGTATCAGCCCCCACAAACTATATAATAAGATACACCACAAATAAAAATTTAATAATTGTCTGGAAAATTTCAATATTCATACAATATATTGTACAATGCATTAATTAGCTCTATTTTTCCCAGTTCTTTTTAAATGTATTCTCTTTAACTCTCAAGAGGTATGTAAACTTAACAAAAAGTCTTGGACTGTTTGGAGTGGATTTCTGGTAACTTAATTACTTACTAGATGTCTTCTCTCACATCTCAATGTCCCAACATACATCACAAGGCGGGTATTTGGGATTTCATATCCCAAAATATGTTTAACAACTAACATTGCCCCAATATAGCCGTATCTTTGTACAATCCCAGAAAATAAGCGAGTGGCCAGCCTCCACCTCCCTGTCTCCAACAGTGTTGTGCAGCAAGTTTCCTGCTATTTGTTTTGGGTGCGAGTTAAATTCTTCCAGCAGAATTCCCTCCATACTAGTGAGCTTGTGGAAGTACATTGTGTCTCTCACATTTGATACCATTCTTCCTCTGTTATTTGAATCTTAAACTCTGCTTCCTATTTTGCTTTTATGCAGAGCATTGTTTCCTTCTGCTTCCTCCCAAGCAGGGAAGTTTCATCTTGTTCCGACGTTATCTCTTTTGTAAAGTGGTCTCTTAACTGCAAGTATTGAGACTATACTTTGCATTTAAATCTTAAAAAGTCAACAATTCATAATTTTCTAAAACCACACACGTTGGCGTTATGCCGTATTTGTGCCCATTTTGCATCCAACATTGGAACATATATGGCTTTAACTCTGAGTCCTATGTAAACCTGTTTGTCTTTTTCTACTAAAATATTCCATGTTTCTAACGTAAATGCTGCTATTGGATCCATATAATGTCTCAAAGCCTGGTCTCTCACCAAGATCTGGGTCTGGTAACCCTATATAACACCATGGTTAAGTTTGATAATTAACATTAGCTACATTTCTTCATTATTGCTCTATGTATTTACTTGGTTTCCTTTCTTTCTTTATATTTTTTGACTTCTAAATGCCTTTTCATATATTTTCTTGCTTCAATGCCACTTTTTTTTCTGTCCTGCCCCCACCCCACTAGGATGTGAAGAAGTGTCTGGAAGCATTAGATGAGATTGGTGCCCTTCAAGTCACAACTCAGCACCTGCATAAACACAGTGAACTTATTGGCACGCTCAAAAAGGTAGATTCACTCATCCAAAATCCATTTAAAGTAAGACAGTTTGAAACTGAAACACACAAACTACCCCAGGGTGTGTTTCTAAGCACTTTGTTGAGTAGTGATGCATGTTTCTATCCGTCTTCTAGATTCGCAGATTCAAGGCCAGCCAGGACATCATGGACAAGGCCACCATGCTGTATAACAAGTTTAAGAGTATGTTTCTGGTTGGAGAAGGTGACTGCGTGCTTAGCCAGGTGCTCAACAAGTCTTTAGCGGAACAGCGGCAGCACGAGGAAGCCAAGAAAGGAGCACTGAAGAGGGTGGAACAAGTCAAGGAAAACAACTCAGGTACTATTTATCACAAATTGAATCATTTTCCTTGTAAGATGTTTTTAACTCACTTCAGAGTAAAATCATTAGAAAATATATAACACATAGCGTGGACAGGAAGTTATTAGTTCGTCCATGGTGCCTGTTTCAGTTGGCTGGAACACACGCATACAGACAGGCGAGGACACTTGGTGTACACGTGATTTGTTCAGTAATTTCTATACAAACGTCTCCTTTTCTCCTTAAACCCACAAACATGAGTTTTCTCCAAAAAATTTGAATTGAATACAATAAATGTGGAAGTATCGACTTATAATGCTCTGAACACATTAGATAATGTCTTCTGGAGTTCACATTGATTATTTGTCTAAATAATGTTAAATGTTCTGCACATTTGAGCACGGAGTGAGTGGTTAAAGGTTGATTAGTACTCAGGGTTTGGAGGAATTGCTGGAGGTGCGACGTCACCCAGACTGAAGTAAGCACCTGCAGCTCTTAATCTTACTAATTTTTTTTTTTTTTACCAGCACTCTCTTGCTGGAGTATAGCTATAGCTGGAGTATGGCTACAGTATTTCTGTGGAGTTTTTAGGGGATTTTTATTCTGTTGGTGTTTTTGTCAGTTTGTTTAACTATCAAGCACGATTCTTGCACACACACACACACACACACACACACACACACACACACACACACACGACATCACAAGGGCTTGGTATAGTTTGGAAATGTCCTTATCAGTGCCCTACAATTGTTACCGATGGCAAAATATGTCAAACTATACATTTGTTGGGGAATAAAAACATGTTTTCATTAACAAAATATGTCAAATAAAAGTAACTTAATAAAATGTTGTTAAAAATTTGGATAAATCAGGAAATATCTAATCAAAGAGTAAGCACGCACACCTAAGATCCTGACAGAGCAAAGTTGAAAATCCTTAGCCCCACAAATCACTATAATGAATCTCTATATATCACAATATCTCTACCTATGTGATGTGACCTTGGATGATGCACTAGTGAGAGTATTTACACTGAGTACATCTGCACATAATATATCTGTTTCTTTTGGGCTCAGCCAAAGAAGACTGAGATTGTTTTAACAGACGCACTGGCTGAGGTCTCATTGTAATGCAGGGGGAGCACTTTACTAACTATTGTTATTATTACACATGGATATTACTAGGAATTGCTGCTAGAATAAAAGGAATCTTGCGGGTGAGCTATTTTGAAGCTTTTAATATAACAGCACAGTTGTAACAGTCCACTGGTTATAAATTAATTATGATCAGCTAAGTCACATTATGAAAACAAATCAGATAACATTTGTTCTGTCCTTTACAGGAGGGGGTCATAAGACCTCTGGTTGACATTCTCAGTGACTGTAATCAGAGCTCTGCAGCCACATCCTTGCTCTTTTAACTAACTAAATTGAAAGGTCTCTTTCAGCACAGCATGCCCAATGGATGGAAAATTGTATTTATTTTGGTAAGATCTGGAGCTGGGCATGTGTTATCACATGCTCCTGTGAGTTCTCCTCTATGCGGTGGTTTAGGTTGTGTAGTGATGTTTTATCTGACGTGAGTCTGTGTCTCATGTGTGTGCACCACCTAAAGACAAAATGACAAATGGTGATATCAGCCCTGAAGAGAAGAAGCAGGAGACGGAGAGAGAGAAGCTTCCTGAGGACGCCTCAGTGGGAGAAAATCACAGGTAGTTTACACATATACAGACAACAGTGAAAGGATTGTGATGCCTTAACTGTCTATAGAAAAACTGAAGAAAAGCACTGGTGTAAATGTATTTTGGTCTCTGTTTTAGTATATGACAGGATAATAACAGTTACAGTATAAAACCTACACCATAAAGGATAAAATCACAGAGGGGCACAGAGGAAGAAGAACACTGCCAGTACTGTCTTAACCCATTTGTTGTTTTTTTTTGACTGTAGTGCCCCAAAAGCTCAGGAAGAGTCCACTTAAGTGTCGTACATGCCTGAAGAGAAGACATTTGCTGCTGTCCAAAATGGGCTGACCAACTGGGATCTCCTGTCCAGTTCCTTTTGATGACTGATAACTTGTTTCCAGTTTACTGACCGTTTCCGTCAGTGCTGCTACTCAAAGGTTACAGTACATCAAACCCCTCCGCTGCCCAGACAAAGACTGACTGAATATATATATTTTTTTTGTTGTTGATGTTACTTAGTTTAATCTTTACCTTTTAGATGCCTGGTGTCACATGCACCGTCTCATCTGTTGAATTTGAGTAATGACAGTGTAATGCTAAGATACTTACTGAGCACACTCACAGAGACAAGGTTACTACTATTTGGTCCAATTTTTTGATTGGAGTAGATGGTTTTTATTGTACGCAATTATTTCATATACACTTGAGATAGTTTGTTTTTTTTGACATTTACAAAATCAATGGTTTGATATTATCTTGATTTACAAATTTTTGTAAGTACAAAGGCGTAGTTGTAGTTAGAAGCAGCATCACCACCATGTCTAATAATATTGGTTAGATTAACATGCTATAGCTGCATATTCTCTTCAGAAAAGTCTGCAAGTTTGCCAAAGTTTATTTTGCCATTATTTAGTTTTTCTCAACCATGTGTAAGTGTCTGTTTTAAAAGTTGGTTTTCTTTTTAACATAGATGTAAATAAGAGTATTTTTGTGCCTGTCTGATGACCTGTTTCAGCATCCAACAATAAAGTAGTACATTAAGTACGCCTTTGTCTTTTATCATATTTCACATTGATTGAACATAAATCATGGTAATCTCAAACACTGCTGTATATATAATGGGTGTGTAATAGGTAAGCTTAAATTAATGAAGACAAAACCAATTTCCTCATTAAGCATCTCACTGTGAATGATGGGGGTTATTTCACATAGATTAAAGATTACATTGCAGTTCACTGGATCAGTTTTTAATGAATGATTTGCTACAAAGCTTTCAACAGGAGAAAAGCCCAGTAAAACATTTTCCAGTAAACGTTCCAGTTATTTCAAACAAGTCTATAAAACCAAAACATTGTCCAAAAATAAATAAAGGGTTTTTTTAAAGCAAAAAATACTAAATAGCCAAACATTTCTTTCTGAAATATAAAACACTGAACTGTATTATACAGCATTAAGCCATTGATGTGAGCAGTTCACCAAAGAAAAGCATTAGTTAAATGCACCACGGTCCACATAAGGATAGGCCAGGAAATTTCCCAGCTTGTTGCCTTGAGCATCATAGTGCAGCATCCGGAAGCACTTGTCACAGAACAGACACGGGTCACTCGGAGCAAACTGGTCATTGGTGGTAAACCATCTGGAATGAGGAAGGGATGTTGAACTTGTATTTGCGCTTTAAAAAGGCGGCAACGCAGTTTTTTGCTGATTTTTACACACCTGCCAATGAAGACGTGACAAACGGCACACTTCTGGGTGACGACCCTGTGCTTGTGTATGAGGAGTGGATACAGCTTCATGTCCAGGCAGTCGTTCTTATGGGCCAGTCTGCAATGTGTAAAAAGAGATAAGAAATGGCCCTTTTGTTAATCTTTAAGAGTGTGAGAACACATTTGTCTCACATTCATGGTGACTGAGTAGTTACCCTGCTCACGGCAGCATAAAACAAGTTCATAGACTCATCTGCTATTACGCATTCCATAGTGCGATGAAACCAAATTAGCTATAAAGTCTTGTGAGAGCAATCAGATCTTGTCCAACAACGAAGTGCTTGTAGTAATGATACAGAGACTTGTGACAAATCAAAGCACCTCAGAGTTGCATAGTAAAGACAGTTCATTACAGTAGAGGTTGAGGATGACCAAAGTCCGTAGGATTAATCCTCTGGGGATAATGAACCTCTGTACAAAACGTCACGGCAGTCCAACAGTTTATAGGACATTTAAGTGTAGACAAAAGGTGACTGATTAGATGTAGTGTGGCTAAAAACAGAGGAAGTGTCTGTATGTGGCCTATAGGATTCTAAAGCTGAAACAAGTTGTGGCTGGAAAATCCAAGTTAGGCAAAACACACAAGAGGCGTGGTGAGCAAGCTGTGACAGGCAGACTTCTGATTTCTGTCATTCAGTGAACTTGTATGTTTAAGCGCAATTTGAAGCATTTGATTGTTTATTACTGCTTTTATTATTGCAAATAGAAATGAACTATATAGCACTTGCAGGTTAGCTGACATTGCTACATCCACCATTTTGTGATATCTGTGATCAAGCAAATATTGATATTTTATAGCTACTTCTGAAATGCCCTTGCAGGAGCGTTATCTGTAGCAGTCTTTATTACAGCTGTTTTGTGATTGTTCATTTGTGATTTAGTGTAAGCTAGTTTAGTGATAACCAGGCTAACCATTATACTAACCATCTGAGTCTAATGTTTTGCTACTTGCTAACATCCTAAGTAACTATCGGGCTAACTGTTGATGTTGTTGATGTTATTTTACTCCTGTGTGCTCCTTGTGTGTGTTTACTAGATTAATTACAGTGTTGTTTCTTCCTGTAGAGACCACACAATGATCTCTCATTTGTGATTCTTGGTTTATTCCTGGCATGAAGCACAATTAACTAATTTGACAATTACTCTATACTTTTGTCTTTCTTGTTTGCTAACTCATGTTTCATAATACTTTTTCGATGTCACTCTTGTTTATGGTTTACAGGAAGTGTCATCAAGTAAATCCCATAGAGATTAAAACCTCATTTTAAAGGGAGAACCGAGTACCTAAAAAAAACAACAATACTAATATACATTTGAGTAACAAAGCATGATCGAGAAAGTAAAATCTAATCATCACACAAGGCGATGGTCCTTTTAACTTCATTTAACATTGCCCATCATGCAGTGCTGGACCGAGTAGTTTGTAAAGTTGCTGTGTTATGTTCCGAAATGCCAAAACACAAAAACATGTTTGTAATTTGTCTGTTTAGAACATGGTGGTTTATGTTGGTAATTGTCATTTTTGTGCTGGTTTATACATTTACATTAAAATACAATACATTCCTTGACACCAACTATATTTTGTTACAGTCTTATACAGTGGGTACGGAAAGTATTCAGACCCCTTTAAATTTTTCACTCTTTGTTTCATTGCAGAAAAAAAAGTTCATTTTATTTCTCAGTAATGTACACTCAGCACCCCATCTTGACAGAAAAAAACAGAAATGTAGAAATTTTTGCAAATTTATTAAAAAAGAAAAACTGAAATATCACATGGTCATAAGTATTCAGACCCTTTGCTCAGGATTTAGTAGAAGCACCCTTTTGATCTAATACAGCCATGAGTCGTTTTGGGAAAGATGCAACAAGTTTTTCACATCTGGATTTGGGTATCCTCTGCCATTCCTCCTTGCAGATCCTCTCCAGTTCTGTCAGGTTGGATGGTAAACGTTGGTGGACAGCCATTTTCAGGTCTCTCCAGAGATGCTCAATTGGGTTTAAGTCAGGGCTCTGGCTGGGCCATTCAAGAACAGCCACGGAGTTGTTGTGAAGCCACTCCTTCGTTATTTTAGCGGTGTGCTTAGGGTCATTGTCTTGTTGGAAGGTAAACCTTCGGCCCAGTCTGAGGTCCAGAGCACTCTGGAAAAGGTTTTCGTCCAGGATATCCCTGTACTTGGCCGCATTCATCTTTCCCTCGATTGCAACCAGTCGTCCTGTCCCTGCAGCTGAAAAACACCCCCACAGCATGATGCTGCCACCACCATGCTTCACTGTAGAGACTGTATTGGACAGGTGATGAGCAGTGCCTGGTTTTCTCCACACATACCGCTTAGAATTAAGGCCAAAAAGTTCTATCTTGGTCTCATCAGACCAGATCTTATTTATCACCATCTTGGAGTCCTTCAGGTGTTTTTTAGCAAACTCCATGCGGGCTTTCATGTGTCTTGCACTGAGGAGAGGCTTCCGTCGGGCCACTCTGCCATAAAGCCCCGACTGGTGGATTGCTGCAGTGATGGTTGACTTACTACAACTTTCTCCCATCTCCCGACTGCATCTCTGGAGCTCAGCCACAGTGACCTTTGGGTTCTTCTTTACCTCTCTCACCAAGGCTCCTCTCCCCCGATAGCTCAGTTTGGCTGGACGGCCAGCTCTAGGAAGGGTTCTGGTCGTCCCAAACGTCTTCCATTTGAGGATTATGGAGGCCACTGTGCTCTTAGGAACCTTAAGTGCAGCAGAAATTTTTTTGTAACCTTGGCCAGATCTGTGCCTTGCCACAATTCTGTCTCTGAGCTCTTCAGGCAGTTCCTTTGACCTCATGATTCTCATTTGCTCTGACATGCACTGTGAGCTGTAAGGTCTTATATAGACAGGTGTGTGGCTTTCCTAATCAAGTCCAATCAGTATAATCAAACACAGCTGGACTCAAATGAAGGTGTAGAACCATCTCAAGGATGATCAGAAGAAATAGACAGCACCTGAGTTAAATATGAGTGTCACGGCAAAGGGCCTGAATACTTATGACCATGTGATATTTCAGTTTTTCTTTTTTAATAAATTTCTACATTTCTGTTTTTTTCTGTCAAGATGGGGTGCTGAGTGTACATTACTGAGAAATAAAATGAACTTGTTTGATTTTTGGAAAATGGCTGCAATGAAACAAAGAGTGAAAAATTTAAAGGGGTCTGAATACTTTCCGTACCCACTGTATGTTCAACCCCCCCCCCCAACCATATCTGAAATTAATCTTGTTCCATTCATACTTACACCTTTCAGTAAGAGGTTGAGTGGGTTTTGAAAAGGAACACAGCACTCACCTGATGTCTGTGATGATGACCAGGTGTTCGCAGTCTCCCTGATGACAATATAGGTACGGGAAGCCCACTTTCACTTTCAGATCCACAAATTGTGTGTCCTCCATCTTGGCCTGGCTGTAGGGGGGGAAGCCATGGGCCTTTGCCCATTCAATGGTAGTCCTGTATCGTAAACACACAGGTGGTACAGTAAGCTGTAAATGAACGGCGCTTTACACTACATGTCACATTCACCCATCCTCACACACACACACACACACA